AGGAGGACGAGGAGGACGAGGAGGACGAGGAGGAAGGAGGAGTTGGAGAAGGCGGAGGAGGAAGAGGAGGAGGAGGAGGAGGAGGAGGAGGAGGAGGAGGAGGAGGGAGGAGGGAGGAGGAGGAGGAGGAGGGGGAGGAGGAGGAGGAGGAGGAGGAGGAGGAGGAGTGAAGTTGAGGTGTGGGGGGGGGGGGGGGGATGGAGAGGGAACGAGGAGAGAGGGGACGATGGAGCAGTGAAATGGCGGATTGAGTAAGTAGTAGTTTTGCTCAGTTTTTTGTTGTTTTCAAGATTGCGTTTTTGCATTATCCGCAAGAGCCTCGCCCCCTGCCGCCAACCCCATCCCTCGGAGGATGGGACTTGCAAGAGCTATGTTGTGAGGTCTGGGCGCCGTCGTGAAGCAGCGTCGGAATTCCGAACGATGACCGGGCTCCAAAACCGTCTTGGGGCGCTCTCAAGAGCTTCTTGGGCCGTTTTGCGGCGGTCTCGGGGGGCCTTTTGAGCCGTCTTGGAGCGTCGGAAGCCCGAAAAGGCGAGCGTGCCAAAATCCACCAAAAATCTTAGGAAAATCGCTGATGTTGGCCTCTTGGGCCCCTCTTGGGGGTGCTCTTGGAGTGGGGGGTTTTGGGGGGACTCTTGGGCCGTCTTGGGACCATCTTGGGGGCCGTTCGTGAAGGATTGTGGTTTCGAAAGCGCAAAAACACAGTAGTTTACAAAAATGATGTATGGTTTCGGTGGCGCGAAGAACGCGTATCTTACGAGGAATCGCAGCTTCGGGAACGCACATATTATGTAAGCTGCGAGAGAGTATTGCCTCGGAGACGCGAACATTGCGCAATCTACATGGAAGTATGGTCTCAGGAACGCGAACACCGTGCAATTTGCTAGGCCTTATGGCCTCCCGGACGCGCGCATTCATAATATGATGGCTTCGGGGGCGCGAATCCAGCGTAAGTTACGAAGGATTAGGGCTTCGGGGGTGCGAACCGCGTGTATTATTACATGTCCCTGGAGCCCCAAAAAACGTGTATAACACCGCAGGTGGTGGTAATCAGGGCCCTTTTTGCCCCCCTCCCCCTCCCATTCCCTCGCGCGGACTTCAACGATTCACAGTAGGAAGCAGAACACAAGATTGTAACATCGGAGATTGGAAATTGGAATTGGAGCAGGCAGCAGCAAGCCTAATCCGCGGAGCATGATGGCCCCGCCCCGCAAGGAGGCCGGCGGATTTGTTTTGATTGGTTTGTCTTTGTGCTTCTGTTAGTTTTCCACCGCCCACATAGGGCATCGATTGGTATTTCCTCCACGAAGGGAATATGTTTTGCAATCCCCTCACATTAGGAATTCGTGTGTGGATCCTGCACAGAAGGAGTAAAAGGATGAGGATGGGACTTTGGAGGATGAGGAGCAGAGGGGAAGATGAGGAGGATGGGGGGAGTGTCTCATCAACCACCCCCTCCTCCTGCTCCTCGAACTCCTCTGGCGCTTCCTTGAAATGAGGAAGCGACGGAAGAGGCGAAGAGGGAGGAGGAGACGAAGGAAAAAGGAGGAGAAGGACGAGAAGGATGAAGCAGACCCTTGATGGCGATGCGGAGGAGTGGGGGCGGGAAGCAGAAGGAGGAGACGAAGGAAGGGGAGAAGAAGTAAGAGGAGGAGACGGAAAAAGAGAGAGAGAGAGAAAGGATAAAGGGAGCGGAGCGCGAAAATGGTAGATCGCAGAAACGCGGGTGAGAGTTATGCCCCCCAACCCGGCCATTCGTCCCCTTCCAACGGCCAAGTCCCGTACTCACCCACACAGCCCCCTCCACGGTACAGAGCTAGGCTGGTTGCAGAGGTACGATGGCAGAGGGTTGGCGGCGGCGGTGTTGCAAAGCAAAGTGAAATGGAGCCGCAGTGTGGAAAAATGAGGAAGAGGACGATAGAGGCCAAAGTTGAGAGAGAGAAATGGATGACACGTTGGCTGCATACGGTTGACGGGCGTGGCGGCGGCAATGCGCCCCGGCCGGCGACAAGAGCTCCGACCCGCCCACCCACCCACCCCTCGTAGTATCAACCCGCCCGTCTCGCCATACAAGAGTGGTGAAGGAGTGGATTAGTTTGGGGTGGGCATGGGGCGAGCCATGATAGCGGGGAAGTGAGCGGCCAGGAGGGAGGTGGGAGGTGGGGTGAGGTGGTTCATGTAGCTGCCAAGCTGAAAGTTGGCCCCTCGTGTCGCACACCTCCGAGGCCCCATCCCCGAGGGACTGGAATTAAGACCTAGTACCAAGGCGGCGCGTGAGGGGACTCGATCAACTGGTGCCGATGTCGACCGTTGAGGGTGAGAACATTGCGACGGTATTGGGAGCCCTGTATGAACGCAAACCCACATGCGGTACGTCGGATGTGTAGGCAATCATTCCCCATCCCCCTCCTCCTCCTCCTCCTCCTCCTCCCTCCTCCTCCTCCTCCTCCTCCTCCTCCTCCTCCTCCTCCTCCTCCCCCCCCCTCCTTGTCCTCCTCATCCCCCCTCATTCCCCTTCCTTCTCCCCCTCATCCCCATCTTCTTCCCTCCCTCCCCCTCTCCTCATCCTCCTCCTCCTCCCCCCTTCCCCACCTCCCCCCTCCTCCTCCCCCATCATCCCCCCTCTTCCCTTCCTCCTCACCCCTCATTCCCCCCTCCTTCTCCTCCCCTTCTTGCGCCCGTGACCACGAGGCCGAGCGCTACAGCCTTGCTGCCGAACGCATCTTACATACGGGGCCCACGCTCGGCCTCGGCCGCAGCGAGAAGCTTCCTGGAGAAAAGACGAGCGCCAAGGGCATTGCATCGGGTCGCCAGCACCCCGCCGAACTAGGAGGCCCATGCTGAGTTGCGCGGTGCTGTCGTAACACTTTTGCGGCGGCGCGGATCGGCGCCCCCGCCGAGGAGGCGCCGGTTGATTCAGACGGCCCCCATTTGAATGGTTCGGTGCCTCGCCCCCGGTCTTCCCCTTCCACCCACCCCCCTCATCGCAATATTCTTCCTCCTCCTCCTGCCTGCTCCTCCCTCCCCCTCCCTGCTCCTCCCTTTTCTTCCTCCTCCTCCTCCTTCTCCTGTTCCTGTTCCTCCCCCCCTCCTCCTTCTCCTTTGCTCTCCTCCCCTCTCCTCTCCTCTCCTCCTCCTCCTCGTCCTCCTCCTCCTCCTCCTTCTCCTCCTCCTCCTCCTCATCCCCCTCCTCCTCCTCCACCCCTTGTTATTATGCATCAATCTTCCCTGTCGCACCCGCATAAGTCACTGTAGGACGGCCCAGACGTTTCGCCTTATACGTCCCTTCTCACAAAGTATATTCCTAAAGCCTGACGCCGGTTCAAGGATGGTGGGCGGGTCCTCTTCAAAGTGCGGCTCTCACCTTAGCGCCGCACACATTCGTTTTAATGAACGCAGCGCGACCCCAATTGGGGGAAAGTTTGCTATTTCATGGTCACAGTGTTTGGTATTTCTTGGCATTGCTTGGCATTGCTTGCAAGAGGAACCCGAAGAACTTCCGAGCAACGAGGAACCCGAGTAAGTCGAGGAGCCTCCGAGCAACGGGCAAAGTAACCCCCCGAGGCATCTTGGGCGGGCAACCCGAGGAACCCGAGGAACCTCCGAGCAACGGGCAAAGTAGCCCCCCCGAGGCACCAATATTTAAGCAAGTAAGAACCCCTGAGGCAAGCCTAATGTAGGAAAAACTTGCAACCGATTCAAAGATGATGGGCGGGCCTTTTCAATACATTGTCATGGCGCCGCACACATTCGTTCTCAAAGTTCGCTACAGTTTCAAGGACGGAGGGCGTGTCCTCTATAAAATGTCGTTCTCGCTTCAGCGCCACGTTCATTCGTCTTGAGTTGTTGCAACAGCAGCGTCAAGGATGGAAGGCCAGTCCTTTTCAAAATGTGGCTCTCACCTTATCGCCACAAGAGTGAAGGCAGCACGACACAACGTCAAGATGTGGGAGCACACATACCTGCCATCTAAGTGGCAGTGGGCCGGTCATATTGCGAGAATGGGGAATGACAGGTTGTGCAAGAAGTCCGTCGCGTGGAGAGATGCGGAATAATGCGTGCTGCAAGACCTGGTTGGCAACAGACCCAAAAGACCACGACGCACACACAATTTCCGATGGGAAGATGATCTTCGCAATTTTGGCATTTTCTGGAAGGACCGAGCCCAAGACAGGTGCAACTGGAAGGCAGCAGCGTCGCAATTCGTGTTGGAACTTGAGAGGTTGCACCATCACGTTCAACATTGATTATTGTTTTTAATTGACAATGCGAGAATTGGGAGGCGCTCTGCAGGAGTAGTTGTGAGAATCCGAGAAATGTAAGAAATACCAAGAAGCATGGATGCTGTGTGAGAATGTGAGAAGTGGGCGCAGTGGCTGGTGCGCGCCAAGGACGCGCTACGGCGCGATCTCCCCTCTCTTCGGAGCGTCCGCGCAAGGGGAGCAGCAGCAGTAGTCTCACCTTATCGCCGCGCGCATCCGTTAGAAAATTGCAGCCGCTCCAAGGACTCGCACATCAGCATCATCATCATCATCATCATCAGCATCAGCATCAGCATCAGCATCATCATCATAATATCCATGCATACATCCATCCATCCATCCGTCCATCTTTTCATTCCATCCTTCCTTCTTTCCCTCCTTCCCTCCTTCCCTCTTTTCCTCCCTCCCTCGCTCCCTCCCTCCCTCCTCCCTGCCCTCGTCCTTCCCCCCCCCCCTCGTCCTCATCTGTCTCCTCCGCATATCCTCCTCCTCCTCTCCCCCCTCTTCTCCGATCCTGCCTGCTAATGCCTTGTTCTTTTTTCCTCCTCCTGCCTAATCCTCATCCTCGTCTTCCCCCTTCCCCTCCCCCTCATCATCATCCCGCCCCTGCTCTTTTCCCCGCACCCTCCCCTCTCCTCCATCCCTCCGCCCTCCGCTCCCCCCGTGCCCTTCCTCCGTCCCTCCTTCCCTCCCCCTCTCTGCACGCCTGGCCCCTCCCACCCCACCCGCACACCACAGGCCATCCGCGAGGCGACTCGGGCGGCCAGCCTCCAAGAAGGAGAAGGGGCGGCCGATGGGCAACAAGGCCCGGCCAACTTGCAAGCCCAGTGTCGCACCCGGGCCGTTGCTCCCGCTCTTGATCCTCCTCCTTTTGCTTTTCGTGTTCTTGTTCTTGATGGTCCTCCCTCTTGCTTCTGTTCTCGTTCCTCCCCCTCTCCTCCTCCTCCTCCTCCTCCTCCTCCTCCTCCTCCTCCTCCTCCTCCTCCTCCTCCTCGTCCTCCTCCTCCTCCTCCGCCTCCTCCTCTCCCTTCTCATCATCCTCATCATCAGCAGCAGCATCATCATCATCCTCATCATCATCCGCAGCAGCATCATCATCAGCAGCATCATCATCAGCATCAACATCAACAGCATCATCAGCATCAGCATCATATGCAGCAGCAGCATCGTCATCATCATCGTCATTGTCATCAGCATCGTCAGTAGCATCATCATCATCGCATCATCATCATCATCATCATCATCATCAGCAGCAGCATCATCATCCTTGTCGTCGTCGTAGTCCTCGTCATCATCGTCGTCATCATTGTCCTCATCACCATCATCATCGTCATCATCATCGGCATCATCAGCAGCAGCAGCAGCAGCATCCGCATCGACATCATCATCATCAGCATCATCATTTTCAGTATCACCATCATATTCATCACCATCATCATCTTCACCCACCATCCTGCACCGCCTCCACCATCCTGTTTCGCCTCCAGAGAAAGGAGGAGGAGGAGGAGGAGGAGGAGGAGGAGGGGCAGCAGAAGGAGCACCATAATACCAGAGAAAAAAAAACGATCATAATCTTTTTAGGGCTGTAGGGCTGTAGGGCTATATGGGCTCTTGGGCACTATATGGGCTATATGGCTATATAGGTTATAGGGCTATAGGGCTATAGGGCTATGGAGCGATAGGGATATAGGGCTATAAGGCTATAGGGCTACAGGGCACCGGGCACCCGGGCACCCGGCACCCGGCACCCATCCCACCCGGGCACCGGGCACCCGTCACCCGGGCACCCGGGAACCCCGGCATCCGGGCACCCAGGCCCAGCCACCGAATCGGCGGCGAACCCAGGCACCCGGGCACCCGGGCACCCGGGCCCGGCCACCGAATCGGCGGCGAATCCGGGCACCCGGGCACCCGGGCCCGGCCACCGAATCGGCGGCACACCTCACCTACCCTTAAATCCGTTAGGACCCCTACAGAGGCAAGCTCTGATTGGGGAATTATAAACCCACGGTGCATCAACCATGCTGCAATAAACCCTCCCTTCAAGCTGTCTCTTTCACAGTTCCCTACCAGAATATGTTTTCATTGCGGGAAGTGCCCCATTGAAAGACAATTGGCAGAGAATCCGAAATAATGTCAAAACACAGATCCTGGGAACTCAATGCCGCGAATCAACGTGACTACCGCGTCCTGACAATCCTAAACCGTGTTGGAACGCCCTTCCTGGCACTTCAGTTTTACGAGTCGTTCAAAGCATTGCAAACTTCAAGACGAATATGCGCGGCGCGAAGGCGAGAGCCACAGTTCGAAAAGGAGTCGCTCTCCATCCTTGAAACTGCTGCACATGTTCAAAACGCATGTGTCTGGCGCTACTGAATTGCCACATTTTGAAAAGAGAACGCCCTCCATCCTTGAAATTGCGCAGGCACTTAAGACGAAAGTGCGCAGCACTGAGGCGAGAGCCATACGTTGAAAAGGACCCGCCCTCTATCCTTGACGCTGCTGCAAGTGTTTGAGATGAGTGCGTGCGGCGGTAAGGCGAGAGTAGCATGTTGAAAAGGACTCGCCTTTCTGGTTTTTTGAAACTGCTGCAACTTCCAAGCTCCAGGATCATACATGGTGAGGAAGTCCCAGGCGACAGGCCAGGCCCGTCCTACCGATATGTCTGGGAGTGATACATGGATGAGTTATTCACCAGGAAACAGGAAACGAGATGGAGGAGGAGGACGAGGATGAGGAAGATGACGAGGACGAGGACGGGAAGGAGGAGGAGGAGGAGGAGGAGAAAGTCGAGGAGAAGGAGGAGTGGGAAAGAAAGAGCAGGAAGCCCCCCTTGCACTAATTACTCGATGTCCTTCATCGCATTTTCTTCTTACTATAACTATGGTTGGTATTATGATTCGTCCTTCCCATCCTCCTGCTGAACCCTCGGCCAGCGAAAGGTGTGCAGACATAACAGGGTGATCCTGACGTCGGACATCGCACTGCACTTCAAGTCCTCCAACCTGGTGCGGGACGTGCTCCCCATCATCGAGCGGCGTTCGGAGGAGTCAAACATACTCTCCCAGCCGTAAGCCCCCTGGCGACGAGAAGGAGGAGGAGGAGGAGGAGGAGGAGGAGAAGGCGAAGGAGGAAGGGGCGGAGCAGGAGGATGAGGAGAAGGAGGAGAAGTGGGAGAGGGACAGGGAGGAGCAGCAGCAGCAGCAGGAGGAGAGTCAGGAAGGGGAGAGGGGATAGAGAGGTGGAATAGGAGGATGCCGAGGACGAGAACAAAAAGGAGAGGAGGGGAGGAGGAGGAGGAGGAGGAGGAGGAGGAGGACGAGAAGGACAAGGATGACGACGACGACGACGAGATTGGGGAATGCCTATTCGCGATGTGATCCCCGTCCCTAGAAAAATAACGAGAACAGTTGAAAAACGGTGACGAGACCACAACCAACAACAACAACAACAACAACAACAACAACAACAATTACTAGCACGTGGGGACACTCCGTTCTCACCAGTGCCAGGGTTTTCATAGGAGGCGGGCAACACCCCCACTTTGTGGGGGGGCCGGTTCAAGCTCTACCAAATTTCCAAACGACTCTTCGCCACCACCCACACCCAGCTTCCCGCCCTATGACGTTCGGACACTTCACTTCGTGGCATGCGGACGACCGTGGCTACTATTCAGGGCCCCGCGGCCGACGACGACGGCGTGCGCGCGCGAAGAAAAAACGAATGTGTCCCGCATGGTATTATTTGACAGGGATGATGGCCCTGGCAGGTGCGCAACCGTTGTCGCAGAAGTTCGAAAAAGTTGCTCGCAAAAGCCCGTTTGACAGAAATGTTTAAAAAGTGTTGGGTTTCCTACGAATCCGCAAGAGCGCGCGGGATGAGATTTTGACATTTTTTTGTTGAAAAACCATTGGTTTTTTGATGTTTTTATGTTAAAATCGCTCCGAACACTAAGCTTTTGGAAGGATTTCGTCTTGCGCGCGCGAATGTCCACTTTACCTTATTTTTTGCAAGGGATTCTTGAAATTTGATTATATTAGAACAAGAAATGTCATTTTATAGTGTTTTTTGCAAGGGAAAACGGATTACAACAAAACAACCGGATCTTGATGACATCGTATTACCTGAGGCTTCCTCACGAAAGTGATGAAAATGTAGCTGCGGCCTAGGCGGCGCAGGGGGGCCGTGCACCAGGGGCCCCAACAATAATTATTCTTTAGAATTAATAATGTTCAACAGCAACAACAACAACAAGCTTATGTTCATTTATATCTGCTCGTGTGCCATTCAACGCGCGTAACATCAACCCTCGATACCCACCCTCTTCGTCTTCGATCGTACCCCCCTGGGGGCATATCTTCCTTACCTGCCGCGTGTGATTGGCCCAGCTCCTAAAACAGGGGAGGAGAGGACGGACGGAAGGCGGAGAATGATGGAGCACAGAATTAGCAGGAGGGGGGCTAGGAGCAGAAAGCACGTGGCAGAACCAGACGGGCTGATCGGGCGGGCAGACCCTAACTGGCGGGTCGAGAAGGCAGGCTCAGGCGGCCAGGTCGAGCATGCTTGTTGCTGAAGCGTGGGTCTTGCATGAGTCTCGAGCGATAAAGCGCTTCGCAAGTAAATCATGGGGAAGTCAAAAGCGAGAGCATGACTCCTGAGTGTTGGGGGCACGGCGCCGCAATACATTGCGAGGAAGTATCACGAGTGAACGCGATTTCTGCATACACTGTGAGGACGTCCCGCGCGAGAACGCGATTTTGAAACAGCTAGATTGTGAGGAAGTCTCAGGCGGAAGCCGCTGTTGTCGTAGCTCGGGGACCAGGGGCCCAATCTGAGCCGCAAGATTTCCCCTGGTAAAGAACATTGTGCGGGCCCCGGGAGGAGCACCTTAAATTGAAAAACCATCAGGTGCACCGGGGAGGATCAACATTTTTAATGAATAAGAGTTCAATCATGTTACCTTCAATGCGCCATGTTCCAACATGCCACATGCATCCATCATGATGCCACCCAGTCTTTGGGGAGCTATATGAAAAGGGGGCTGATACTCCCACACCCAGATCTCCCGCCCATGGAGGTCGAGCCAACACCTCTCCCGAGACACTTTCCACTTTCAGCTCGTACGGCACATCAAAATCAGTCTTCCCCCTCTTCCCCTCTTGTCCCCTCTTTTTTCCCCCTCGTCTTCCTCCTGCTCCTCTGCCCCCCGGCGGCGGGGGCCTGCCTATGCCATCCCCCGAGGTGGCAGCTGGAGGGGTCCGACATGTGCCTGACCATCCCGACCTTCAAGGACCGCGGTCGACTGCTCCCCCTTGGAGGGAAAGCAAACAAGGACCGTTAGCAAGACTGAACGGGGCCACGTCGGTGTCGATCTTGGTCATCGACACTTCGTGGCTCATCTTCGCGAATCGGCGACGGCCGGCATGGACCATGACCCAGATCAGCGCCGACAAGATCCCCCGACACCTTGGTCACGGTCCTCGTGCTTCCTCCCTCGACCCCCTCCCCCAAGGAGGAAGGGCCGAACAGCCTAGGGTCAGGAACGGTTTGTTTAGCGCGTTGCGCCGCCAGTTCTGGCCCACCACACTTCGGCGCGACACGCTAACAACGTCGCGCCCCGCGGAACGGAGCGAGACGCTATGTGGTCGCAGGGCATGGCGTGTCGCCGAGGCTGCCGCAGCGACACGCTAAGCAAAAGTTTCCGACAGCTGCTCCTCAGACATCCGACGAGACGATTCCCTAGTAGCGTGTCGCTAGAGGGTTCTGATAGTGGTCAACAATGGCCACATGATAGTCCCTCACGGGAGATGGGGAGGCCGAGGACGGTTAGTCCGGCAGCCAGTGCGGTTGCCATTTGGTTTGAGACGTCTTCACAGTTTGTTATGTGATCGGTCTCGCCTCAATGTTGGCTACATGTTTGGTCAAGACGGCCACGACTTCTTGTAACAATTACATTGAGGACGAGGAGGGCGAGCAGAAAGGCCAGAGGTTTCTTGGATGCCTCTCGGAGTCTCTTCGGATGTTTCTTGCGAGTTTCTTGGAGTCCTCTTGGGGCGTCTTGGGAGCCTCTTGGCTGCTCTTGGAGCGTCTTGGGTTTTTTGAGCGAGACTCTTGGGGGTCTCTTGGGAACCTCTTGGGGTACCTCTTGGGTGCCTCTTTGGGCCTCCTGGGCGTCTCTTGGGGCACTCTTGGGGCCATCCTGGGTGAGCTCGATCACAGAAGGGGGGAAGCTAAAGTAGCCCCCACACGAAACCACAACTGGCCCAAACCCTGGGAATAAACGATGAATTGCGTTTTCCCGCTGAGGCCATCTTGGATGCCTCAATGCGTCGCGAAACGCACCATCCAGGTCCAGGGGGAGGGGGGAGGGGGAGAGAGGTCAAGCTACCCACCCGCCCGCAAGCCGCCCAGCTCTCCCAACACATCAGTAACACCGTAACACCCGAGCCTGAGCATGTTCAGCGGTCGTCTTTGGATGGACAGCTACTGGGAACCAAAGCCGACCCCAGGTGCGCGACGCTTGGGCGAGGTGCGCCACGCGTGCCATGGGCGCCACGCGCGCCAGGCACCCCTGGGGCCCGAGCGTGCTAGGCACGCCAGGTGTGCCGCACACTCCAGCCGCGGCAGGTGCGCCATGTTCGGGGCACGTGCAGAGTGCGTCAGGTGCGCCTGCACACGCGACAGCACACATCGTGAAACATGTCGGCCCCCGCCATCCTTGTCGAAAACCATCATTCTGTTTGGTGGGCCTGCGCACAGCAGGCCACGCGCCACCACCCCCGCGGTCCCTGTCAAAAACAATTTGACAGTGATCGCGAGATGGCCACGCATGATCCAGATTTAGCCTCGAGGTGCATTTTGTATTGTTTGTTATCAGGGATGGTAGCCCTGCGCACGGCATGGAATATGCTGGCACCCCCTCCGTCCGTATCAAAAACAATACAAAGTGTTTGCGGGCCTCACGAACATGACCCAAGACTTTGCCCTCAAGTGTACTTTGCATTGTTCCCTACCTAGGCTCTGCCTAGAAGGGTTCTTACTCGGTAAGCTTAAAGGGCCGGGCAGTGTTGCACGCCCCGGGCGGTTCCCCCGGCATCCGCCCCGCGGTTCCCCAGTTGCGCCCCCTAGCTTTAGCTTTAGCATTAGCTTTAGCTTTAGCTTAGCTTTAGCTTTAGCTTAGCTTCAGCTTAGCTTTAGCTTAGGTTTAGCTTATATTCAGCTTAGCTTCAGCTTAGCTTTAGCTTAGCTTTAGCTTAGATTTAGCTTTAGCTTAGCTTTAGCTTAGCTTCAGCTTAGCTTCAGCTTAGCTTCAGCTTAGCTTCAGCTTAGTTTTAGCTTAGCTTTAGCTTTAGCTTAGCTTTAGCTTAGCTTTAGCTTTGCTTCACCGTTACTACTAATGCTGCTCTCCTAGGGGTTCCAATTCCTAGGTAGGGTATCACTGGGATAATTGATTGACAGGGATGGTGGGGCGGAAAGGGGCGGGGGTCGCATCGGGTTGGCCGCGCATACTCCAGATGTGGAGGCAGAGTGTGGTTTGTATTGGTATTTTGACAGGGATGGTGGGGGGCGGGTCGGCATGGTGTCCTCATGATTCCTGGTTGGACGCCGGTCGCTTGGGGGAGGGGGTGTATATTAATGAGGAACAGTGATCAAGACATTTCTCCCAGACGCAAACTGTTTGGTTCACTCCCACCCGCCCTCCCAAGCGAGGAGTACCCGAGTCTTAGCATACCCAGCTGTCATTTTTGGATGGACAGACTGGAAACCAAAACGCACCCCAGGTGCGCGACGCTGGGGCGAGGTGCGCCATGCGTGCCAGGCGCGCCACGCGCGTCAGGTGTGCCAAGCGTCTATGGGACCCGAGCGTGCCAGGCACGCTTGGTGCGCCAGATGCGCCACGTGCTCCACGTGCGCCTAGTGTGCCGCATGCTCCTGCCGCGCCAGGTTTCGCCACGTTCGGGGCACGCGCAGAGCTTGCCGGGTGTGCCCGCGCACAATCGGAAACTTGTCGGCTCCCACGAACCTTGTCGAAAACCAATACACAATCGCGGCGGAGTGACCATCATGATCTCTGGCGGGCTTGCACACAGCAGGCAATATACCAGCACCCCCGCCGTCCCTGTCAAAAACCAATGCAAAAGTGATCGCGGGCGGCCCGCGCATGATCCAGATTTAACTGAGACGGTGGCCCTGCGCGAAGCAGGCCATATGCTGGCACACCGCCGTCCATACCAAATATCATCCTGGCAATGAACCCAACCAGATGCAGTTGCGAATACCGCCGTTGTGAGAGCTGCCTTCGGTGGAGCCCCCTTCTGTGCAAGGCGCGCGAAGGGTGCGCCGCAATGGGGCGGGGCCGCCATGCGGGCGTTGCCGCTGAGGCCTTCGGTGGAGCCCCCTTATAAGGCCACGAAACGTGTGAGGGGTGTGCCAAGGTGGACGGGAGCGGCATCCGAACCATGCCGCTGGGGCCTTCGGTGGAGCTCCGTATGGGGCCACGAAGCGTGCGAGGGATGTGACAAAGGGAGGGGGGCCGCCATGCGAACCATGCCATTGGGGTCTTCGGTGGAGCTCCCTGTGGGGCCACAAATCGTGTGAGGACTGTGCCAAATTCGACGGGGGCGGCATGCGAACCCTGCCACGGGGGCCTTCGGTGGAGCTCTTTATGGGGCCACGAAACGTTTGGGGGGTGTGCTAAAATAGACGGGGGGTGCAGCATGCAACCATGAAACTAGGGTCCTTAGTGCAGCTCCCTATGGCGCCACAAAACGTGTGAGGGGTGTGCCAAAGTGGATGGGGGGTGCAGCATGCGAACCATGCCAGTGGGGCCTTCGGTGGAGCTCCGTATGGGGCCACGAAACGTGCGAGGCGTGTGCCGAAGTGGAAAGGGGGGGAGGGGGGGCGACATGCGAACCATGCCGCTGGGGCCTTCGGTGGAGCTCCCCATGACGCCACGAAAAGTGCAAGGCGTGTGCCAAAGTGGAGAGGGGGGCGGAATGCAAACCATACCATTGGGGCCTTCGATAAAGCTCCGTATGGGGCCACGAAACGAGTGAGGGGTGTGCCAAAGTGGAGGGGGGGCGGCATGCGAACCCTGCCTCTGGGGCCTTCGGTGGAGCTCCCTGTGGGGCCACAAATCGTGTGAGGGGTGTGCCAAATTCGACTGGGGGCGGCTTGCAAACCATGCCACTGGGCCTTCGGTGGAGCCCCCCATGGGGCCACGGAACGTGTGAGGGGTGTGCCAAAATAGGCGGGGGGTGCAGCATGCGACCCATGCCACTGGGGCCTTCAGTGCAGCTCCCTATGGGGCCACGAAACGTATGCGAAGCGTGCCAAGGTGGAGGAAGGGCGGCATGCGAAGCATACTGCTGGGGCACTCGGTGGAGCTTCCTACGCGGCCACGAAACGTGCGAGGCGTGTGCCAAGTTGGACAGGGGGCGGCATTCGAACCATGCCAGTGGGGCCTTCGGTGGAGCTCCCTATGGGGCCACAAAATGTGTGTGGGCTTTGTCAAAGTGAGGAGGAGGAGGAGAAGGAGACGCGGGGACTGTCTCTTCAAAACGAGGACCCAAAACCACAGGATGGTTGGGAACAGTACAAAGTGATCGCAGGCCCCCCGACCATGACAATAGATTGTGCCGCAAAGTGCACGTCGCAAATTGCGCATTGTCCCGGGATTGTCACTGGTCGGGTGGGGGAGGGGTCAGATATTAAACAGGAGCAGTGTGTAAAAAAACCTTCCCCGAAGGGGAAGAAGGGGAAGGTGGAAGAGGAAACGCCCTAAACCACTCACGCCGTGAAGGGCTGGTGAGATTCAGGGATCGTGTTCTCGCCTCAATGCCGGCTTCATTCCCTAACACCGTGTAGCTAGAGGGTTCCCACGGTCGCAAACAAAAACATAAGAGTCGCATGGGGTTGACGGGGAGTCCGAGACCGTCTGGTTCTCTTGAGATTTCTTCACAACTTATTCTGGAACCGTGTTGTCACCTCAATGCCGGTTGCACTCCCTAGCAGCGGTTCGCCAGAGAGTTTAAGCAGTGGCAAAACAGGACAACAGAAGATTCCCACAGGGGGGCGGAGAGCCCGAGGCCGCCTGGTCTAGCAGCCATGTCGCTTGAGATTTCCTCACAATGTGTTCAGAACTCGTGCTCTGGCCTCAATACAGGCCACATTGTTTGTCTGGACGGCCACGGTCCCGCTGGTCGTATAGGCCGCCCAGGTCCCAAAGGTTCCAAAGGTTTCACAGGTTCCACACGTTGAACAAGTTCCACAGGTCCCACAGTTCCCACT